CTGCTGCCTCTGTTGTCTAAAGCTTAGAGATGCATTGCCTGCCAACCCTTCAAGTCTTGAACCTATTGAGGTAGACAGTGGAACTACCACTGACAGGTCCACAAGCCACACTAGGTAGTCCAGAGAGCTCATACCCTGGTTGTTCCTACAGGATCCCTTTGTCATTTCTAAGTGAAGAAGAAAGAGTAAAGATAACTCCATAAGAACAGAAGTGTGCTTATCGAAAGAGTGAATGTAACTCAAGGCAGGAGTTTTGCAAAGACTTCTATACTTGATGCTATGCTTGGGACATGGATGATTATAAGTGCACAAAGAGTTGATTTACTGGTAATAGTTCCTCACAGTGACTGTACATAGAATAAGAACCTGCAGGCTTTCTTAAATTATGACCAGGGTTTTACTGTGGGAAATTGAGAGAGAGGATTCACCTTCACTGCTGTGTTTCCCAGGCAGCTGGGAGGAACTGTGTTTCTATGGATACTATAGAGAAAAAAGTTCTCCACCTAGTTGTGCAATACATAGAATAGTTGTGCAGATTCTATAGGAACTAACAGCATAGGGTACGGACTCTGATACTCTGGAGCTGACTATTTTATTCCCTAAAGACATATTATTTCTAAATTCTGTGTGTGTTTTAGTACACATTTTTACCTAGATGCAATAGCGTTCTCTGCTAAAAAAACCCGTTAAATAAATAAAACTGTTAAATTTCTAAAATTGTAGAGAATAATGCTTTTGTTAATTCTATTTGTTGTTTGGTTTGGTTTTTTTTTACAATGAGAGTAATAAAACACTAGAATAAAAGACTTGGATTTATTTGGGCTTTAGACTGAAATGGAATTGCTACTTCTGAAACACACTGACAAGAAGTCAACTGCATGGCAAGAAAGCCTCTTCAACTTGCTCTCTTGTTGAACCTATGTGTTATTTTAATGTTTTTATAGTTTCTAATTTTATGATCTTTATACTAAACACTGTATGACAACATCAAATGCTACATGTCTTTAGAACATTTGCATGTTAAGCTGTGCCTTTACTCTTACGAAAGTTCTAACAAGTCAATGTTATGAAATGGCTTGTATACAAGGTTGGTCATTATTGAGAGATACAGTATCTTTGGGGCTATTTGGTATTGCATTTTCAGTATTCAGGAGGGAAGGCATAAAGTACCACCACTGAAACTTATATTGCAACATGATAATGCTTCCAGGCTTTCTTCTTATACTTGTTATTCTGATTTCCATTGCAGACTAGGGATAAGCAGATTTTGAGACCATTTAAACACTGGTTTCCTTGGAATAGCTCTTAAGTACCTTCTACCGTTAGTTTGTTTTTTTCCTCTATTACCCTAGTAAGTGTTAAAACATGATGCATGTTCTGATTTTTGTTGTATATTAGTGATTAAAATTGTACAACAGAACTTGAGAGAAAGTGAGCAACTGAAGGCTTGTGGTCTTCCATTTTTGAGAGAGAGTATAGGGTTTTTTTGAGGGAGAGCTTGTGTGTCTATGGTAACAGTAGTCTGATCTGTTTAATAAATTGATATAAGCAGTAGAGAACAGAGGTAATTAGTATCTTTTGGAGGCATAGATAAGACTTATGTGAAGAAGTTCCAGATGTCTGTCTTTTGAATACCAGTGTCATCTTCATAAATACATCAGTTTATTTTGAGTGACCCCTTCAATATTTTAAGTCCCATTGCCAGTTCTAGTACATAAAATCTTTACTGATGTACTTACACTTTATTTACTGCTCATCTGTAACGGGTTTTACTTTTTTATCTTAATTTTTTTATCTTAATTTTATTAACTTGGAATTTAAAGTTCCCCTTGTTAAGGAGATAGTTATTAAAAAGGCTTCAGTAAGTAATCTGTTGTTATTATCCTTTGGTTCTAATAGATACAAAGAAATCCTTAAGAATGTGTTCACAAACCGTGAGGAAATCAGGAAGGAATACCTCAAGTTGGAAATGCAACTTAAAGAAAATGCACTGAAGACACATTACCAGGAACAATGTCATGAACAGATTCAAATGACTTGCTCTGAAGAAAGAGTAGAGAAGGTGAGTTTTCTATAATGTAATACAAGGTATCCTCTTTCTTCATTTTACCATACCATTGTGTGAGTTTTCCTTAAATAATGATATAATTAGTTAATGCTTAATATTTAAACAATGAGAAATGGGACACACTGATTATCACTCAGATGACATTTTTGACATTAATACAGAAAATGTAGTAGTAATGTCAGGTGTGCTATTTTTTCCACACTGCACAGAAAACAGTTGATGTGCTTATTGCTGCTAATTGTGAAAACTTTTCAACTTGTCCTTAGGTAGGCTTCATCATAGTTTCTTAAGACCCAGTTAGACTTAAGAGGCTCATGGTGCTCTTGTCCAGAATGAAAGCATGTTAATGCAGGTCTGGTACAGCCATTGAAGCTGTTATCAAGCTGAGAAATCTTTGTGTTACATAACAAAGTATGGACCTTGTGCCAAATGAGATGGATTCTTACCATTGATCCTTTCAGTTGTCACCAGGAAGATGTTTGGACAGCTGCTTAACGGACAGTCATGTGAACTGAAATAATTATGTTTAGTTGCCTTGAATTTTAAGAGAATAATTTGGAGGATAAGTATGAACAATTGCTATTGTACAACACTAAATGCTCATGTCTTTCTAAAGCATCAAAGTATAAATAAGTAAGCATGGTTAGATAGTATCTTGGTTTTTCTGATATACATCAGCTTAAAGGAATATATGTTTAATATAGGTATAAAGTTAAGGGTGGGGCTGATTTTGCCGAGTCACAGTAACAATCTGTATTTGGTCGAAAATTATAGGTTACCATATGACTATTTTTTCCCCAGTGATTCACATGAAATTTGGTCCTTAGATAAATGTCAAAGTGAAAATATGTCACATGTTTTTGCTTGTCATTAAGATATTTCAAGTGACTAATGTGTTCTAGAATTCTCTTTTATGTTATAGAAACTCCAAAGTAATGTTTTCTATGTGCCATACATTTAAATGCTGCTTACAATAGAGCATAGCTGTATCTCTATTCATAATGAAGAGTTATATCTTCATACAATCTATTTCATATGAATGGTTTTTTATGAGCTGATTTAACTTTTTAATGTTAGCAGTGCTGCACTTAAATGTTGCTTTTGCCGTTAGTTAACTTACAGATGTGATTTACTAAGGGTCAAGAGTAACTGTCCTATAAGCATGATGTTTTATTTATTAAAAAGAGTAAGTCACTGTAATGGTAAAATTAAATGTCCTTTTGCAACTTCTTTGGATTTTAATTTGGAATTCAATCATTTGATTACCAAAATAACTGCTCACGTTTCCCTTGTGCACTATAATGCTTCTGTTCTTCCTTGTATTTTTACACATTTGCTGTTTTCCTAAATCCTCTGGGTTTTATGTCAAGAGCATTTGTGGAAATGTTAATTTTCTGGAAATATTTCTTTTACAAGAGTATTTATGAAATACTGATTTTAAAGGGAAAAGTTTTACATCTAAAATATTTTCTCATTTTATACTTAGTTGTCTATGCTCAGTAACTAGATAAAATAATGATTTTAGGTAAATTAACATGAAGCAAATTATATCTATATTTGAACAGCCTCAGTCTGAACACTTAAATTAAAAAATATTATTTCAGGAAGAAGGGAAAAAAACTGCATATGAGTTTAGGTTATCTTAATCTCTTCTTACAAATGTTCTCTTGTTGCAAAAATTTTGTCTCAGTTTTGTGAAATTCAGTCCATCTTGGACCACTATTAAGCCATTTCCATTTTTCACATAACTGCCTGTTTTGAGCTTTTTTAGAACTTGGATGCTGCCCATTTAAAGGGCTTGTTTATGTCCTCCTTCCTAATGCCTGTTCCTCCACTCTGTAACCTGTATTTCTGCATGTGGTATTTTCCTGTTGCATACTAGAGAGCAGCTACAGCAGTGTTAGCCAGAAAACCTTTGTGCCAATAGAGGAACATGCATAGAACATTTCTCTTTGTGTGGGAACATAAAAACTTAGTATATGCCCCTGCATTATAGTTACTTTTAACTAACTTGCCGAGTTTGAAGAAGTCTACTCAGTTTTAACCTACTGTATCTTGAAAGTTTCTGCATCCGTCATGGAGTCTGGTTTGCAATTTTTAAATATTTTTTTGTAAACACATTAAAAAAAAACTGCTGGTACTTTGGGCTTTAAAAAATATATTAGACTTAAAAGCACTTGTGCATTTCTGATTGCCATTTTAACATTATTTTTACTGTCTGGAAAAGGAGCATATTCCTGGAAAGCAGGTAGTCTATCTTAGTTTCAGTTTTTCTGCTTACTCAAATTGTCTATGCTGGATCCAGAAATAAGTCCCAGCTCTTCAGCCTAGGAGGGACTATTTCTTCAATATCTCTTGTGGTTGTTTTTTTCCATTACAAAACAGAGTAGTAACCAAGGATCTTGCCCAGGACTACGTCTGTTTCAGAGGTTGTGTACAGGTACCATGCATAACCATATTTTTTTCCTGTTGAAGCACATCGATGTAACTTGTCCTTTCTTCCTGGCAACCTATGGGATGGGTTCATCAAATGGTGGCTATTGTCAGTACCACCTTAATCTTGCACTGCATAGAAACCAAAGTTCACAAAACAATGCGTTTTAATTTCCCTGCTTCAGCAATCCTGAAAGCTCTTCCCTAATCTTACTGATCAGAGGGAACCAGTGGTCATTGCGAGCCTTAGCCTGACACCTTCCTCCTGGTACTTTCCCTAAAGAGCCAGTCCTTTATAAAGTGACTTTGTCTTCTCTGGATCCTCTGTCATCTTAGCAGATAAAGTCTAAAGAGAAAGTAAGTGAAATTCTGGCCAGAATCTAGTGTTTGACCTGGTAAGTTGCCTGGTACACACGTGTAGTTCAGGTGTCTTTATCATGCTGGTTTGTGTTCTGCATGCCATGTGTTGAAGTAAGCATTCTGAAAATCAGCTTAAAAAATGCAACCTGAATCTTTCCAGTACTGTTCCTGTTTTCTACAGTATGTTCAGAAGGGCACCAGTTAGAGTAATTTCTGCTTGTGCAACATTAGGAAGGTACATTCAGAGTTTCTTATGACGTTTTATAATAGAACAAATTTGGCTTGCTATTCTAAATATGTAGACTTACTCTAATCAATGAAGTTTGCATTTAGAGTATTAATTTTGGAATGTAGAGATTTAGGTTCTATAACTCTTAAAAACTAACCAGGTTCTGTATGTTTTTGTTGAGTGTAGCAATATACTTCAAATGTTTGTGGTTTTTTGTTGTTAAACTAAAGTTTAGTCAAAGCTGAACTCTGAACTCTACTTAAAGTTAATGTTCTCTATGACTAGTTGAGTTAGTGACCTAATTTTTGAAATGGACTGCAAACTATAGTTGTCCTCTGAATAGGAAGAGTCTTCTTCACCTTGTTAGGGTGCAGTCTCATTCATAACCAGCTTGCTGTTGCTGGTTTTATGACATTGCATTAGGAAAACGGAGCAGATAAAATTCCTTCTTCATATTCATGCTTGAGTTACGAGAAACTATTAGGTTATGTTATATCTAGAAGTGTGTTTGTCTGTACGTGCATGTGTAATTTTTTCAGTCTTTCCAACTTAAGATAATTATGGCGTAGGACAGAAATCTATCAAATCCAATGTATTATTCTTTAAAGGAATAAGGAAATTACTGTAGTCTCTGTTATAAGGGCTTTGAGGAAAAAAAAAAGGTTGAAAATGTTTAAACAGAATTCAATAATGTCCATAAGGGGAGTTTGCTACTTCACTTTTATTAAACTGGCCAAAAATGGAAAAATATTTGTTATGCCCAGTTGAGCATCAAGGTATGGAATTTTTATTTTTTTTTAATACGGAGAGATTTGTGAACATCATTTCCAACTTTTCCCTATAAATTCTGATTTTTTTTATTTTTTTTTATTAGGCCACTTGCAAGCGGGATCAAAGACTTACAATGCTTAGAACCCGCAGCATACACATGCAGAAGAAGAAAGAAGAGGAGGTTGAACATTTTGAGGAAAATAACCATTGGCTGCATCGTGTTGAAAATGAAATGCGCCTCTTGGGTCAAGATGGGTGTATTCCAAAGGTAAAATGCCTTTCACTTCAAGGGCAGATTTCATGCAATGTAGGCAACATGTGACTATATTGAATAGATTTCCTCCACTCCCTCCTCCCATCTTGCTTCTGCTCACAGCTTCTGCCATTCTTTCAGGGTGGCTTCAAATTCTAGTGTTAGGTGTTTCCATTCTTCTGCCCTAAAAGTGCTTCATTTTTTGTACAGAAGTATTCCTTGTTCATGAAAGCATACAATTACATGCAAAAATATGAGTTAAAGGGGAATAAGTATGCCATGACTGAGCAGTTCAGTTGGCTGCCAGAGTGCTGATCCTGCTCCTGACCATAGACTTCTAGCCTTGCCTTTGCAGCAGGTCCTGATGCTCATCTAACCATGTGACAACCGAATTCTTAGCCTGGCCAAAAAGAACTTCTTTTTTGGAGGGTGCTAGGGGAGGAGTGGGAAGAGGGAAAGAAGTGGGAAGTAGTGTTAAGCTCTCTGCCAAGTTTTAGCAAGTAGAGTCAGCTCAGTGCAGCCTCAGGCAAGCACCAGAACTGGCAGAAGGGAAGGAATGAAGGTGTGTGCAGGAACAAGGAGAAGGAGGAAAGACAGGTGAGGAGTTGTTCCTCCCTGCCTTTTACTTTCAGCCAGCAATTGGAGTGCTTAAATGATAGTGTAATGAGCATTTATGTGATTCATATAATAGAATGTATTTGAATACCTGTATTTTTATTGAGATTACTAAAATGTGTTGATACCATAAAATTAAGATATTTCAAACAAGATACTGGCATCTCAGGAAGGTGACTGAATACAGTGAAGACTTGTCACAGACAGTGTCACTGAAATTCAGATATGGAGCAGGTGCACAGGAAAAGAGGCAAGCATGTTTTTGGACCTGCATAGATAAGCTTACCTGTATGCCTCTTGGACTCTTAATGCTAATTAAAGCACACCCACGATTGGTCAAAGGAATCTACAAAGCAATATTTATGCATGTAAATAAAAATCAAGTTGATACTTTTCTGCCATAAAAATTATCATAATATAGATTGAGTCCATGTTTACTTTTCAATATAGGATGAATTTGTGTTATTTTTAGTTTCTCACTATCAGTTTGTGGTTGTTTGGGTTTTTTTTCTTGCTAATTTCCCAAGGAACTCTCTCAAGATCTGCAGTGTTGCCATTTAAAGCTAGAGGTTAAGGACCTGAAAGCCCAGATTGAGAACATGTTATCACTGGTGTCCCTTCAGGATCAGTATTATAAGCAGACAGAAAAGTAAGTATGATTTCATAGATGTGATAAGACTTCTATTCTGACATGTGTGACTTCAGAAGAGATACCTATATAATTTAGTTTTACTTGAAATAGAAAGATTTTTCTCAAACCATTTTTTTTCTAGGTTAGAGTTGTATTTTCTTAAGCAGAAAGACCTGTAAAATAATAATCACTTCATAAATCTTAGTCTGTATACACCATTGTTTAACATAAACTGCATGTATACTCTAGTGTTTCTTTTCTATTTAATTTTCTTATTTGCATAATTTTTACAAATTCTTCAATAGATCAAGGTGTCTTATTTTCTTCTGCATTGAACAGCAGTATTGAATTTTTAATGCGTGTTCTTTTAATTTCTTGCATTGTAGACATTCATTTACTCGCACTGAAAACTGTTACTATTAAACTCTTAGCTAGTCAGACTGAAAAAAGCTGAACATTAAATTAATGTTACACGTTATTAAAATTAGCGTTATTAACATTAAAAAAATAAATACTTAAACCAGCAAAAATAAAAGCAAAATTTTTAAAGCTACCTTGTTAATAACTACAGAGTTGCTTCTTTTGGTTTCTATATACACATCCCTTTCCATATTGCTTGAACCTACTGTTTAGTCTTGCAATTGACTCCACAGCTAATGAATTCCTGTGTTCATACAGAATTCCTAAAGTTCTGTCACTTTAATTTGGTTTGCAATTGTGCATGGATCTTAATGTATTCCATTCTTTAATTAAAGGTCCTAGTATCTAAATTTATTTGGACTAGGCTTCTAATAAGGTTCTATCCACAACTAATTAAGATGTACTTAGTTTAAACCACATTATTTTGATTATACTCTTCTTCATTTATCTCATACTTAATTTTAGAAATTAATTTAGAAAGTCAGAACTCAGTCAAGATACACTGACTGTGGTGTTTGAGAAACTGAGGGTCTTGGACACTGAAGAAAAAATATACTTAGTAAACACTTAGAGTGAAATGTAAGATTTTGCAAAAGAGAAAAACCGCTCTATTTAGTCATGAATACTTCCTCTCAGTGTTATGGTATTCCTCCAAATTAAATTAAAATAAATTGCACAGCAGAATTTTGTGGGGAGAGAGGAAAAGGACAAAAATAACCCCTTGCATTTCTAACAGTGGCAGTGCTAGTAAGGACCAGATTAGTTACGATGTAATCATATTTGTCTTTCCTTTTGTTGTTTTACAGAGTACTGAATACTTTGCTTCCAGTTCTTCGCAAGCAATACCTGACTTTGAAAGAAGCTGGATTGACAAATAATTTAACTGAGACTGAATTTGAGGAGGTTGAGCAGCTGATTCAAAGGCAAAAATCAGTAGTGTGGGCTGACCAGACTGAAGAAAAGGAAAATCAAAACCATGAACTAGACATATCAGCTATCTTTGCATTCTCACAACTTGTGAACAGACCAAGCACCCCATGCCGTAAGTATATAATTAATTTGTTCTCTGTTGAAAATACTTCAAATGTCTCTTGCAAAAGCTATATGTCGTCCATAAACACAGTGGCTGTGCACTTCTGCAAATATTGAAGCCAAATGTAAAACCAAGCCTCACACCCACTTCCTATAAAATATACTATTCTTAATTGGATATAGGAAATAAGTTTACCTTTTCAATGGTTAGACACACTGTGTCAACAGATAACTCATTCTCTTGTTGTGACATACCCCATGTAACAATGTTCCTAGATCTTATGAGTGTTACTAATAATTTCATTTGAATCTTTCATGTGACACTGATGGAAAGGGCATCATCGTGTCAATAAGTATTATAACCCTATTAGTAATTTGAAATGTTAAGCAGCTACTACAATTTTGCACAGTTTGAAGTAATAGCCTTGAGGGGGATGAGATTTGTTGCTAATTACAGGCTGACCTGGAATCAATTTAATACAATATTTTATAAGTTTATCTTTCCAAGAATCAAAAGACAATCACTTCTGCCATGGAACTGACTGCTTTGCTGTATCCTGGTGGCCCCATTTCTTCACCATAACTCTTATATTCCAGTCAAACACTGGAACAGGCTTCCTAGAGAGATGGTGGATGCCCCAAGTGGGTCAGTATTTGAGACATCTGGACAGTGCTGTTAAATAACATACTTGGTCAGGCAGTTGGACTAGATGACTGTTGTAGGTCCCTTCCAACTGAAATAGTCTGTTCTGTTCTAATCTATTCTGTGTAGCTGTTTTGTCATCTTTAGCCAGAAAGTGAGTTGCCCTTGAGTGTAGCTTGTGTAAAAAGGGATGAAGAATCCTTACAGAAGACAGTGCTCTGAGGGACAACAGGCAAAATCTCAACCTGATGTTGCAGCTGCTGTGGGCCTGTGTTTCTATCTTATGCTCTGGATAGGCAGCATTCAACACTGGGGCTTTCTGATTATAGCTAATAATTCATGACAACCATGAATTACCACCTATAGGTAACAAGGGAAAAGCAGACAAATATGTCAGCTTCTCAAAAGCTGGTAGTCACAGAGGAAAGAATATTGATCCCTGGAGCACTGTGAAATTAGTTCTCTACTTCTTTTAACTTACTACTTCTACACAACTCACTCTGAGGTTGAGAGTATTCTGCCAAAAGCATTTATTACCTCTGTTCTCATAAAGTGTCTATGTGATTTTTGGCATGTTTTTGTATCACCGTTGATCATACCAGATAGTTGATTCTCAGTATTTCACTGTCTACAATGTGAAGGGTGGGCTGGGGTTTTTTTTTTCTAGTGGGAGCAGTGTTGGGTAGGTTTTGGTGTGAGTTTCCTTTGTTTTGTGAGAGAAGGAATAGAAAGTTTGCAAGTTCATACTTCCTGTTCTGCCCATACTAGTCAGCAATTCAGCAAGGTTGAAAGCAGTTGTTGGCTCGCCCGTTTCTCCTTTCTGCTTGGAGTGAGCGCAGTGGACTTCAGTGGGGGGCAGCATTCTTCCACTCCGCTCTGTTCTCATTTTCCATGTGGAAGGGAATTGGGTATGATTTGGATTGATGGCAACCTTTTGGAAAATAATGGTAGTGATAGGTATCTGCATTTCGTGACATTGAGTTCATTAGGAAGCACAATGCTACTGTCAGATCATAATGGAAATATGTTCTGAGAAGTTTCATGAAAGGCATTAAAATAAAAGGTAGTGGTTTTCTTTCTTGTTTTATCTCTATTTTTTAACAAAAAGAAGAATACAGTATTTAGAAATGGTTTTCTAGTCTGCTTATTCTGTCATGGCAAAGCAGATTAGTAAAGGGTTTAGAGGTGGGGGTTGCTTCATGTTATAACTGATCGGAGAATTCATATACTGTAACATTTTATTTCCACTGCTAAAACACTGGAATCCTAAGTGCTAATGGTTCTGATTACAAAAACTACCCCATTCTTATTTTGAATCATATTTTGTGTTTGTGTATATATATGCCTATACTTTTCATTTAGAATTTAGACTGTGATTATCTGCCTGAAATTTGTAAAACTTTTTACTATTTAAAAAAAAAACCAGCATAAGTATGACATTTGTGACATGCTAAAGATTGTATTTGTGGAAATACAAGTCTGTAAACTGAAGAAAGAAATACAAACTTCTCTGAACTTGTAAAATCAGAATTCAAGACTCGTGTGCGGTGGAGTTTCTGCTTGGAGATATGTATTGTATTATGGGCAAGGCAAACATGAAGCCAGGCTTCTGGCTGCTATTTATTTTATATCATAGGGATATTTTTAAAATACATTTTTTCCTTTCAAGGGAACCTTTTTCTTGGCAGAATA